TCTCTCTCTCTCTCTCTCTCTCTCTCTCTCTCTCTCTCTCTCTCTCTCTCTCTCTCTCTCTCTCTCTCTCTCTCTCTTCTTCGTCGTTGTCTTCCATGCAGGTACGCAGCGCCTCTCTCCTATGGCGCGGCTATGGCGAATCTCCCTCCTCAACGGCGCGACTCAGCTATGGCACCCGATGGTTGACAACGGCGGCACCGCGTGGAGTAACGGGTACCTGCTCTGATACCAATGCAATCAGACTCACTTTATTTTCCACTTCGCATACATGCAAACAGATGGCGATTCACACTGGCGCCAAGCGCCCACTCGAAGCTCAGAGATATGGAACCAAGAACACAGTTCAGATGCACACTCGTTCCATTCAGCTATGGCGCAATAACGCCTGTACACCCAACTCTCGTCACTGTCAACACATCTGTTCGCACGCACTCAACTCTGGATCACCCTCAATACTCCACTCGTACACACACACTGTATCACGTACTCACGCATACTAACGCCACTACTAACTATCGCGGCTATGGCCGCTCGCTAACACTATCGCTAACCACTAACTCCTTCTCTGCCCACTTCGACTTCGGGCTGACTGCAGACCACCTCGCACAAGCTGCTGGGGCAGCGCTTCCGCATGGCTTACACAGCGAATGGATGAATGACTGGGCGCTGCCTCTTGGTTTATACTTCTGTAACTCGTTGGTCTGCCCCTTTCCACCGGGCCCATGGTGCACACAGTCCCTCATGGTACTTGCTTGACTGGACTGGGACTGACTGGACCGGTACTGCTGACTGCATGGGTTTGCACTGCCAATTTGCGGTTGGGCTCACCACTTGCCCACTTGCCTCTGACTAACGTGAGGCAGCTTCGAAAGGCCACTTCCGGACCTTCTGGAAGTCTGTGGCCTTGGCCTTTCGAGTACTGTAGCAGCTACGACCTGGACCTTTCAGGACTGTAGCAGGTACGACCTATATAGGGCTGTGACTCCTACTCGACAAACCTACAGATCGAACCCCTACCACTACACAGACCTACGACAGACAACAACAACTGCCAAAACACAGGTCACAGGTTCAAACACTCACAGGGTTGACTCGATACTGTACACGGGTAGGGTAAGGTCTGGAGATCGAACTCTGGGCCCACATCTGTGACTGCAAAAAGGTGAAAGCCGTTTCAGTGTTCAGCCCCTGTGTCTTATTCCATTACATAGCAGTTTTGTTTTCCTTTCTTTTTTTTAACAACAATTACAGATCAACCCTTTACATGACTGTATCCATCAGGGTGAGGTTCATGGTCTTTTTGTCAGTACTTACACGCATTCAGCTACACAATTGGTAGAGTGCCCCTGTGTTTTACCTGGAGGAAGATGGCACGTAATTAATAACTGAGGAATTAGGGCCAGGTCCCATTGGTGCCATGTCTATGCTAAGTTCACATGAGTGTAGCCAGTTTTTGTTAGGCTAGATTCATGCCTTCGGACTCTCTGAGCATGGGCATAGGACCGATTGGGACTGGTCCTCAGAAGCTAATTACTTGTTTTTTGTGGTTGTGGTTATCATAATAACACACAATCATTTGCTGTGTTTGGGTGTGGCATTGCCAGGGCTGCTTTTTCATTTGTCGAGGCTTCAAAGAGTACTACGCTACCTGCTTAAGTGGGGTTCATACAGGGAAAGTCATCCTCCTGCTGATTGAGGCAGTAGGTAGTGGTCACGTTGAACCTATTTCTCTTGTGATACGGATTTGACCTTTGACCTTCTTTGACCTTTGACCTTTGACCTTTGCTTCCTTCTCTGAGACTCCTTCTCGTCCACCTGTTTGCGACCTTTGCTTAAACCACCTGTGCTACGGCCAATGTTTACTTCTTTCTCTCCTCCCCATACCTCTCTCGCCTCAGTACGACTCTTACAACGGATGTAGGGTGCTGATACTCCCGTCTCTCCTTGTTAAGCATGCCGAGGCTGATGCTTCTACTGTGACTGCAGCTCTGAGTCCATCTGGCAACTACTACCTGTCCTCCTTCTACCTCTTGCAGTACTGGAACACTAAGTGAAGCTATTGCTGCAAGATGCCAGTTTTGGCCATTTGTGTTTGCAACTGTCGAGTATAGCGCTATATTAAAGTATATATGCATATTGGGGCATTGGATATGTGCCTGATGAGTTTTATTGTACTGCCTTTTCCCTATGGCCCTCTGCCAGATAATAGATCTTTGACCAGGAACAGCAGAGTGAAGAGAGGGGATGGTGAAAATATGAACCCAAGTAAAAGTAACATGTTCATGTGTCATGGTGAACAAGGTATCAGAAAGGGAAAACAGACTACACTGATAACAGTGCTGACCTTGATAGGTATGGATTGGCAGACGAATCCCAATGAGCGAGCGAGCATGAAACAGACACAGGCTGCTTCGATTTTGGATTCTACTCATCTAGGTGGAACAGGGGCTGTTGTGGCGAGAGTCTACAACACGGTGAACACACACATACACCAGTCAACATCGTGCTCATGGTACGACGACAGTGACGACACCCTTACATGGCATGTCCTAGTTGTAGACAGGGGATGGAACGGCAATGCCTGTATAATTACGGTTGGCGTGTGTTCCTAGCATGTAGTAGTCATGTAGCCTGTGACACTTGTTCATATCGTGCCACTCGATGCAGCAACTGTAACTGTGAGAATTGGATATGCTTCTACTGTCCACACCCGAACCAGTCCTGTCAGGTCTGCAGGTGTGCCACTTACAAAGGTAACCCCTTTTCCTCAACTCAATTTTCTCTGCAACCCGAATATTAACTGGCTTCTCGCGTCATTCCATTGTAGACTGCTCTGGTACTGAGAACCCTGTGAAGTTTGTCCTTCCACTGCTTCATTCCTTGCCCCTCCACTTCCCTCCTCTTCCCCTTCTCCCTCCTCCTTTCTTTCGTGTAGAACTTCTCCTCTCTCTCTCCCATTCCTTCCTCCCTCACCTTGTAGCACTACTAAACGAATACAAATGAGCATCATTAAGATAAAAGTCAAACTATAAGCTGAAGGTGTGCTGAAAAACAAACAGGAGTATACCTCCGCTTAGCGTGCAAGTGGGCCGTTATGGCACATGGGGATGTGGGCATCTTGCACTCAACCACAATCAACGTGTCGGGCCCTGTACGTGAGAGGCACAGTACAAGGGGAGCTGCAACAAGAAATGAAAGAGAAAACCCAGAAAAAGCCGGAGTAAGGAAAGTGAAGGACGGACCACACAAGGGAAAGGCAATATAACGGTTTTAGTCGACAACACACACGCACACACGCGCACACAAACACACGCACACACACACACACACACACACACACACACACACACACACACACACACATAACGGTTTTAGTCGACAACACACAC